GCGAAGAAAAACAACCGCGTCGTGTACTTCGACAGCTTTGGTAATCTTCGACCGCCCAAGGAACTGGTGCGATATTTCGGGAACGGTGCTACGATGATAGGGTACAATCGCACGTCCTATCAGACGTACGATCAGAGCTTCTGCGGACAGATGTGCCTGTGGTTTCTACTAACGGTCGACGTTCGTGAATTTAAAAAGCTCGACTAGGTGCCGTGAAATCTCAGTATTGGTCGTTCGCACTTCCCGTCATGTCGTTGACACTTACACTGAGCGGGAAGAGCAGCCTCCTCGCGGCGAACTACTTCCCCGCCATAGATTTGAGTGACAGTGTTTACGAGCTCGGTCTGATGATTTTTGAGACTTATCACATGATACCGATCGTAAACGAATCAAACAATAAATTTTATTTCGACAAAGAAAATACAATTCCTGAAGGTTCGTACGAAGTACGAGACATAAATGAATTTTTGAAACGTGCGATTTTACGGAAACGTTCGCGCCGCGACGCGCTTGAAACCGTTGACGTAGTGCAACCGTTGCGTGGTGTCAATAGCAACAATAACAACAACGATAGCTATGACGACGGTGGAGAATACCCGATTACGCTCCGCGCAAACTACAACACGATGAGATGTGAGATTAGATGCGCATACAGAATAAACTTTGGCATGCCTAACAGCATTGGATCGCTGCTGGGATTCTCGTCTAAGCGTATACTGCGACCGCGAAAATGGCACGTATCCGACGTGTCGATCAACATAATGAACGTAAACGTTATCCGCGTAGAGTGTAACGTGACCGCGGGCGCGTACAGCAACGGCAAAAGCGTGCACACGATACACGAATTTTCGCCGAACGTGCCACCGGAATATAAGATATCGGAAAGGCCCGCGCAGATCATTTACTTGCCGATCACCGCACGGAGCATACGGATCTAACGATACGCGTCGTCGACCAGAACGGACGATTACTCGATTTTCGTGGAGAGGAGATCACCATCAGATTGCAAGTGCGACAGCGGCAACGATAACGGGGAGCGTGAGATGCTCGTATTGAACGGAGCGGAGCGCACGCAGAGAGATAACGAATTCTTTACAAGGCCGGTGACGTCACAGCTCGATAACACTCGTTCACCTAGTTGCATCAGCAAGAAGAAACTCAGCGCGTCGAAAGTTAAATGTTTACAATCTTTGGGATTCGCGGTGCGCAACTTTTGAAATGATTGATATCTTGAATATTACTGGTGAGCCGATCTTTGACGATCGCATTGTCAAGATCGAGACTCACACGTACAACCCGTTCGCCAATACAACGTTCGCGTACAGCGACGAGATAAGAATACCCATACAGCAACAGGATTTGTACACGTTGCCGTGCGAAAGTTTTCTCAACGTCGAAGGAAGATTGACGGTGAAAAAGAAAAACGATCAGACGCCAACGACGCTTGTAAATAATTGCGTGGCATTCATGTTTGATGAAATTCGATATGAACTCAACGGTGTGGAGATTGACCACAACAGAAACGTGGGCATAACTAGCACGCTCAAGAATTACGTGTCGCAGACGTATGACAAAGCTTTGATTGCGATGAACGCTGGATGGAACACTAGATCCGACACAGAGGAAGGATATTTTAATTTTTGCGTGCCGCTCAGCATGCTGTTGGGCTTTTGCGAAGATTACAAACGTCTGATAGTCAACGCCGCCACGAATTGACTTTGATACGAGCGCGCAACGACAACAAATGCTTGGTGGGAAATCCTGTGACGGAGTCTGAAATTGAATTATTTAAAGTACAGTGGCGGATGCCTCACGTTGCGTTAAACGATATCAATAAATTATCAATGCTGCGAGCATTGGAAAGCGGTCGTTATCTGAGCATGAGTTTTCGCTCGTGGGATCTGTACGTGTATCCTCTGTTACAGAATACGACAAAACATTCATGGGCCGTCAAAACGGCGACTCAACTTGAGAAGCCGCGATACCTTATCTTTTTTGCTTTGTAGACCGGTCGAAAGAATGTCATGTCACAAAATGGTAACATGTTTGACGATTGTAATTTGAGTAACGTGAATCTTTATTTAAATTCAACGTTTTATCCGTACGACGATTTAAATCTGGATTTTGGTAAAAAGAGATACGCCATCCTGTTTGATATGTATTCCCGTTTTCGTAGAGCATATTATGGAATCGATTGCTTCGAAACGCTACTCAACGTGCTCTCATTTACCCGGGAAGGATCTTTTGTGGTCATTGATTTCTCGCGACAAAACGAATCCGTCAAGAGTACTACTGTGGACGTACGCATAGAATTTGACTGCAAGGAGAATGTGCCCGCAAATACAACAGACTATTGTCTTGTCATACACGATCGCGTGGCTCAGTACAATCCGTTGACCAACGTTGTGCGCAAGATCATGTAAATTGCATCAACATGTATTTAGAACTTTAAAGAAAGAGAAAAAACTGGAATGAGGTGCAGTCTCGAAAAGTTGTTCGTCATGGCCATACCGACGTTTGTGAATCTACAAGGATTCATCGTTAATAAGAATTTTATCGTGAAGGAAGTAGCGGTGCTGAAACAGGGGATCGTTTTCACGCATTACATTTTTACGAGTCCCGTGTCATGGAAATTTTTGACAAGATCCGACAGGTCTTGCGCTTCCTGGTTGATTGCTTATCAACATGGATTGCGATGGGAGTACGGGAGGATCCCGTACAGCGAGGCGAAACGCGGCTTTTTTTGCGATTACTGCGGCTGTATTTGAAGATGATGCTATTGTATACTCAAGGGACTCGAGAAACAAACGTGGCTTTGGAACTTGCTTCTGGATGATGAGCGAGAACGCGTGTACATCGAGACCTTGGATGCCGTTTACGAAGACATGGAATCTTTAATTAATCTAGATGTTGCTAATACTATGCGATGCGGATAACATGTTAAGAATTGCGCGTTACAAAATGTATTGAAAATATATAACTGGTGGTTGCAAAAGAATTTTTTTAAATAAACAATACGTTAACGTATTTGTTATGTATTTCTTTTCCCTTCCTTTGTAATACATGTATAAACGTATGTATGAACGTATGTATGAACATATGTATGTATGAACGTATGTATGTATGAACGTATGTACGTATAAACGTATGTATGTATGTATATATGTATGAACGTATGTACGTATAAACGTATGCATGTATGTATGTATGTATGTATAAACTCATGACAAAGAAAATATGTAGGAAGACGTGATAAAACGTGTCGCGACACGTTCAAAATTCTTGGAAAGAGGGAGAGGGTTTGTCTCCCCTCTTCGATTCCAGAAGTATTACCATATACACCACAATTTACGCGGATGCAATCAGTCTTGTGATACCCGCTTGTACGAACGGCTGAAAAAATGTACTTCGCCAAAGAGAGCAGCGCATCATATGACGTGAAGAAGGAATATAACATATAAGTTTCAACGTTCTATACACAACAAAGAAAACGTTTTTAACATTATGTATGTACACATTATGGAGCATCGTGCTGTGCATTTCCTAAGCAGACGTTACAACCTGACGAATACGGCTATAAATTTTTGGAAATTGG